CTTATATCAATGCATGTCGAAATTGTTGGGATTTATATATTATTTTGAGGGCGTTACAAGGACTGGGCCCCAACAGCTTCCTTCTTCTTCCTCACCAAAGCTTCTTCCTCAGACTCATAATCGTCATTGGATTGGCTTGGAGTAGGGGGGAATGGTAGGGGGAGGTCGTCAGCATTCTTAAGGGGAGAGTCCTTGGGGACATCAATCTTTTTGAGGACAGCCATCCAACCAAGGGTGAAACCCTTGTTGCATGCCTACTTCACTTGCTTTTTGTAGTCATCCTTGACGTCGGCCGCCCCTTCAGCATACTGTAGACGTCCCCGAACGCCCCGGGAGGATGGATCCCGTTCTGTTCGTTTTGGGCTCACTACAATTCGGACTCTCAAATTGTCACGGTTCTTAATCTGAACCAAAGAGTCCAAATCCGGCAAATCATTTTGGAAAACAGATTTTTAGAAAAGAAGTGCCAAACATGAATTGCTTTGCCAGATATAGAGTCGCCACCTAAATATCTTTTATGGGGGAATTTAAGAAACCCTGACTCGTTTGCCTAAGGCCACGTGTCCGTCATCACCAAAGTTGCCTCGGCTCGGGAACTTGGGTACGATTGGAGAAGGTCAGCTATGAGCACCCCCTCTCGCCCGATCCGAAGATCGGCCTCTACTAACCATGATATCTTGTTTTGAAAACATTATGCGTTCTTATACCGGTTATTAGCCTAGAATTACTATGTGATGCGTACAGCAAAACAAGTATAGACTAAATTGCCTAAGTCGGAACAAAGTATCGCATTTCCGTTTGTTTGGAAAATGGTTTGAATTTTGCTACTCGCAAGTACACTAAAATACAGATTTCGATGAATTATCCCAATTCAAACAATCCAACCTCATGTCGAACAAATTTGAATAGAATGGCTAGATTGAACTGTATTTAATATATAGAAATCAAATTGATACAATAATAGTGATCAAAGTAAAATTTGAGTCAAAAGCAAAAAAAAATTTATCCTTTATTCTTTTAAAAAATAAGTAAATAGGCACTCTTTGTTAGTTTTTGAAATAAAATAAAAAAATAAATAAATTGAACTTTAAAGAGTTGTTTTGTTGTAATTTATCCTTTTAATTTTGTTGTCTTTATAATTTTAGTGAAATTTCAATTAAAAAACAATTTATTTAATTATTGAAAATAAATATTAATATATATATATATATATCATTGTATTTCCAAGCCTATTCAAATTGAGCTTATATAAAAGCTTACTTAGTACTCCAAGCCAAAACAGAAACCAGTTAGTAATCATGCGCATGATCCTAGTTCATGTTAAGATGACTAATGCAATACATGCAAAATGCAACTAAGATAGGCTCGGCTAATCTACAATGACATATGAGATGCTACAACTAACACATATTCGATTTGGAATTGAAGTACAAATGCAGTTAGAATGATGCGCCGAGCCCGGTGCATGCAAAACGAATGAATGGATGCAAACATGCCATCATACTGTATGCTAATTGAAACATGCCCTAGACTAACCATCGAAAGCTAGTAAATAAAAGGGAAGAAAGACGTGCGGTTGGGAGACATACACACACTCACGCACACTTATTACACAATTGCCCTCACTCGGAGGGTCCGAATAAATATTACAGTCCGAATAAATAATACTAAATTAATTATTACTGAATTTTTAATTAATTAACAAATTAAATGCAGAAAGAAGGCGGCCACAGCCCCGCCTCGGGACGCGTGAATGATGCATGCTCGACTTGTTTTGCCCGAAAACTCACTGCTATAGCACTGTTGCCTCTGTTAACACTGCCCTGCTCCTCTGAGGACTGTGAAAATTCTTGGGGCACCTCTGAACTGATTCCTGATCACTCCGGAATATCACCGGCCAATTCAAAGCACCACTGGCCATGGGGATGGGCTCATCGGCTAATTGTTGTACCACCGGCCAGCCACCGATGGTCGGTCGGCACTGTAGGTGGCTGGCCGGCCATTTCTTCCTGCAAAATCCTGCAGTTAACAGCAGCAGAAGGCAGGCAGTGTATGGCATGGAATTTTCAAGCAAATGTGAGCATGGCCACACTCCCTATCATGCAATGAACTTAAGGGAGCGTGGTCCTCGACCCTCGGGCCATCAATTGTGCATTTCGATGCATGATGGCCTAAGAGGCCAAGTTTGCAACTTAATGTAAATGCATACAACACACAAATGAATGCTAACAGCCTTTCATATTGAGGTCAAGGGCATCGGTGACGGAGGGTCGAGAAGCATTTCGTCACTTTGGGTACGAACATACCTCTCCCCTCATGCTTGGTTTGACACCCCAAACCAAGTAATGCAATGCATGTATGCAATGTACAATGCAAAGTAATGCAACTCATGCAATGCCATGCGAGCGAGCTAGTCAAATGTAACAAGACATTAGCTAACCATGCAAGCTAGACTAATGCGATGTGGGCATATCAAGTATACAACAAGACTATGCGATGCAACTTAACTAAACAAGGTGCGAACATGCAAACAAGATATAATGCAAGCATGCTCCTAATGTAATGCAACATACATCATGCCAAGTATGCAACTAGGTACAAAAGTGGTCTTAAACTGAAATGGGAGGCCTCAGCCATGCCCCAAAGCAGTGGCCAAAAGGGCCCAAAATGGTACCAATTATGCATGCAAGCATGCACACGCCAAGGCCTATCATTTGAACATGAAAGGGAACAACTCTAGGCATACTTAAGGTAATGTACTTGGGCTTTAAACACTCACGTTAAACTCCAAAAAACATGCAAAAGATGACACTAATACATGCTAGGGAATGGATACAACATAGATGGCATTCAAGACTACAAACGAGAGCATTGCTCAACACTTACCCCGAGCAAACATGGCATGGATCTTTCAATACAAAACAGAGTTTTAGCATGCAAAATGGACCTCCAAAACCCACTGATATAGCAGCTAAGGGACACAAACCAAGGGGCATGCACAATGCTCATTTCGAGGCACAAAAGAAACAACTCTTCAAAGTATGAAAGAGATGATGAATGCAGGCATACTAGCATGGATTATGGACTTTAAACATGATCTCCAATGATGCCAAATCACGAGAATAAGCTAAGCTAAACATACTAGAGACCCACATACACAAGGCTCACAATCCAAAACGCAAAGAGGCTACCCTAAACATGGAAAGTATGACTAAAACAGTAGCAAATAGGCCTTAAGCATGGCAAAACAGTGTTTAGAACTTCATAAAGTTAAGCTAATATATGCAAGCATCATGGTCTATTGGCAAGGCGTATTTCTAGGCAACATGGAGGAATGCAAAACAAGTATAATATGCATGGAAGGGACCACTAATCCAACCAAAAACAGAGGCATAATATGACCCAACAACACCCAAAAACCCCTGAAATGAAGCCAAGAACAACTAATCATGCATGCTACCGTTATGAGCCAAAAACATGAACAAATAGTGCACAAAGGGAGAGGGGTGTCCCTCCCCTATGCAAGACCTCAAACCCCATTCTTCACCACTGAAAATCCACTGGATTTCATTGGTGAGAAGGTCAACACACAATAGTAACCAAAGCTTAGCAAAGAGAGCACCAAAAGGGCCAAACAAGGCCTAAGACGGGGAAGCTCAATCAAAGAGGGGACAAAAGGGGCCAAACAAGGCCTAAGAGGGAGAGGTCGACCCCCAACACCAAAATGACCTTAACGAAAGGTCTTAAGCATAAAAATACAAGACTTTTTTCAATTATACACAAAGTCTAAAACAGTAAGCAAGATAGGCTAAAGGCTAGTGTAAGATTGGGGAATATAAAGTAAGTAATGTTACCCTTGAAGAACCCTTGAAGAACAGCAAGCTCAGGCCCCTTGTTATGATTTATGATCAAAATCAGCTCAAAACTTCAAGAAGAAACCCTCGAGGCCTCCCAAGTCAAAGTATGGTGTAATAGTGTGTGTTTTAGTGCAATACTATGAACTAAACACACTTTTAGGCTATAAAACACACACAAAATGAAGAGAGAGAGGGAGATATAGAGAGAGAAAGTGTATATTAAATAGATATCTATATCTTGCTCTGATTTTTGCCCAACCAAGACAAAGGAAGGGGGAGGCTCCTTATATAGACAAAGGAAAGGCCCCAAGCTTCTTAGAGAAGCTATTGCAAAAAGGTCAAAAGAACCAAGCTTCCAATGGAAGCTTCCCCAAAGGTGCAAGCTTCTTGAGGAAGCCAAGACAAGGGGTCAAAGCTTCCTCAAGAAGCTTTGAGCAAAGGGTGCAAAAAAAAGGGGTGAGCACAAGATGATTTTTTTGGAAATTGTATATATATCATTATATTTTCAACCCTATTCAAATCGAGCTTATTTTTACTCAAGCGCAACCCTATTGCCTAAATGAGTTTAAAATTTTTACTCTCAAACAAACTGAGCTAAAAAACTTAACTCAATTTATTTACAACCTTAACCAATCGTTATTTATATAATCTTGCTTCAATTTCATCAATTTGTCACACATATATATGTTTAGGTCTTGTTCAAGGATGGGCTGCCATAGTCATGGGAATTCTATCAGGCAGTGTTCCATGGTTCACAATGATGATAATTCACAAGAGGTGGACACCGCTCCAGCAAATCGACGACACACTCGGTGTCTTCCACACCCACGCTGTCGCTGGCTTCCTCGGTGGCACCCTCACCGGCCTCTTTGCAGAGCCCACACTTTGCGCCCTCTTCTTGCCCGTCACAAACTCTAGAGGCGGCGTCTATGGCGGCTCTGGTGAAATCCAATTCCTCAAACAAATCGCCGGTGGCTTATTTATTATTGGGTGGAACCTCGTGATCACATCGATCATTTGTGTTGTGATTAGGTTGGTGATTCCGTTGCGAATGACTGAGGAACAGTCGAAGATTGGTGATGATGCAGTGCATGGAGAGGAAGGGTACGCATTGTGGGGTGATGGGGAGAAGTATGATGCAACCAGACATGGAGTCTACGCCGATGATACGATTCATCAAAAGACCTCCATTGGTGCAACTCAAGTGGTCTAATCTTGTCGCTACGTAAAACAATTTCTTCTCTCTCTTGTCATTAGGTCATGTTTGAGACTCTTATGTCTTGAAATTCTCATAGAATTTTATGATTAGAAATTCATTGAGACAGAGAGATAAAAGAGATTTAAGACTAAAGATGTCTCGTCTCTTTCCCCTTATTCTCCTTCTATTGATTGTTAAAAGAAGTGATTTAGAAATTGGGGAACCAATATTCATGTATTTGTGAATGATGGGTGTGAAAAGTTGTTGATTTATTGTAGTGTGCATTTTGTGAGCTTAAAGGTTGTTAATGAAACATAGATTGGAGTTCAATTGATGTAGCATTTGGATTCAATTTAGAATTTTATTTATTTAGAATGATGTAATAGTTTGGGCTATATTTGTTCTTTATAAATTATATTTCTTTTACAAATATACAATTAAATTTTGTTTGGTAACTCCAAAGACATTTTCACAATTAAACAGTGTTACAAAAACAAACCAAGGACATCACTTGTTAAAACTGTATCCATTGCACCATCAAACACTGGATTGAATAACTTACATAACAAATATTATCCTATCCCAAAGGGGCTTGGTTATAATCCAACAAATAATCTTAAATTGACATTGACATAGAATTTTATAGTAAAAAAATGTATATAAATTTGTTAAATTTTAAATGAGCATATAATCATTGACAAAAATTAGGATACAAGAATATGTAATGGACCAAATGGAGAACAAGTCCATCAAGAGGGATTTTCCACTAAGGCCAAGTTTGGTAAGTTGTCAAAAAGTCAAAAAGTTACTCAAAAAGTCAAAAAGTTATCACTATTCACCAAAAGTCAAAAATTACGGCTGCACAACTCTTAATCTTAATTTTTTCTTACACACTAATTTATACAATTTTTTCATAAAAAGTCAAAAAGTTAATCCAAACATTCATATTTTTTTCTTCAATTTTTTAGTCTAAAAAGTCAAAAAGTACATTTATTTAGAACATCTCAAACAACCCCTAAAACTCAATATAAGTAGTCAACTTTTATTAATTGGGACACAAAACTTGAGTTTATTTGAGTTGTTTAGATTTATTTTGGGCTATATCTTAAAATATTAATAGAGAGGGTCCAATCTAATTCCAAATTTACACTTGACCATGCCCAATCTCCATAACAAGAAGAAGAAGAAGAAGTTTGTGAACAATCCGGCCCAATGAGATCCCACCAACATGACCTATTGGACCCATTGAGCCCGAAAACAATATTTTACAATATTAGATAAATTACAATTACACTTCTTAAGATTTGCTTAAAATATGAATTATCTCATGTGATTTTGAAAATTACATTTCGCCTCCTGATGTTTTGAATTTCATAACAATCGGCCCCTTTTATTAATAAATCATCAAATCAATTAATAATTTTTAATGATATCATAAATTTATTTTAATTAATAATGTAAGTAATTTTATTATTGTATAAGAGAACAATTAAAAAATTCACTTTTTTAGTTAATTCTATTAAATAAAAAAATTATGCAAATAAGTATTTATAATTTTCTAAACTATAAAGAGAAATCCACATTTTAAGCAAAGCTCAAAAAGTATATTTATAATTTTTCCTTTAAGTTTCAACTCTATTTTTTCAAATAATATGAAGCAACAATAAAATCATACAAAATTACATTAAAAAAGTAATTTTTAAACACTAAAAATTCATATACAATCTATTTATAATTATTCAACGTATGTTTTGTGGGGACATAAATCTTCAATGACAACACGTGGTTAAGGTGTCATGTGTCCTGGTCATGATGCCGAGATGATCTCGGCTAGGCCGAGGTTATCTGCGAAAATACCGAAATCTGAGATAAGCGACTAAGGGACGAGTCCTAGAATTCCGTTTGGGTAAAGATAAAGATTCTTAGAGAGTTTATCCTAATCCTACTAGGAGTCCAAGATTAGCAGTAATCCTAAGTCTATTGAAGCTAGGCTTCTATTGGGACTAGGATTGTGTTGGCTATAAAAAGGAGGCACCCTCATGGGTCTAAGGTACGCTTTTTATATTCTAAATAGTGAGTTAAGCACTTTGGCTATCTTTAAGAGATAACTAACTTGATAGTCGGAGTGCCCCCGGGTAGACGAACTACCGCCGGAATCTCATCTTTCTGTTACAGGTCATTCAGGCGCCATCTATTCTGCCAGTGCTCTCCAGTTGAATACTTGTTTGGCAGTGTGGTCGGAAATTAACACACACAATTTGGCGCCGTCTGTGGGAAAGAAAGGAGAATAGATGGCCAATAACGGACATAAAGAGAAGGTTGGGGACGACACTCCTACTGGGAGTGGGAAACCTATTGACTGTGACGTCGAAGAAGACAACTACAACAAAGAGACTCGAAATAAGAATCACGGAAAAAAAGACGTCGGCCAGGAGGGCGACACATCAAAGAAATCAAACCGAAGCAGGTATTATAACGAAGACAACCTCCAGGTATGGAAAGAAAGATGCCTGCAGAGGGATGACAAGATGAAGGGAATGGAAAACAAATTGGCAGACTTGCAAACGATCGTCAACGTCATGATGCAGAACAATGTCATGCAGCCACTGTTCCCGTTGCAAAATACGCCGATTCCAATGGCCAAGAAAGATGCCCGAAAAGATGGGCAGAAAATAGTCCCTACAGTCCCCCAACACACTAGGACCGAAAAACACTCTCACCGGCCTTCAAGAGAGGTCGGGTGAGGAGAGTCAAGAAGGAAAGAATCTAGGAGGATGTATCGCACCAAGGAAGTTGACCCCAAAGAACATCGGCATGTTCAAGGGCAGGAGTTGTGCTTTAATGCAACTAATGGAGAAAGGTCGAAGAGGACTCACAACGAAACTGGAAGTAGTGCACCGAAAAGGCTAAAGTCAGGAGATAGCCGAGCTCCTGGACGGACCAAGGAGGATCTAAAGGATTACCTACAGAGAAAGCAACAAAATGCCGAGGTAACCTCCCCAGTCAAGCCGAGAACGCCGTTCTCGGTAGAATTGGACAAATTCAAAGTCCCAAAGAGGTTTAGTATGCCGAGATTTCAGATCTACGACAGTAAGTCGGACCGTAACTTTCACGTCGATTTGTACCTGAACTCAATGGCGTTATACACCAGGAATGAGTCGTTGCTTTTCAAGGTGTTCCCCTCATCCTTCGGAGAAATTGCATCGGACTAGTTTCACAAGCTGTCGAAAGGAACTATGAAAACCTGAGAAGGCCTGGTCGAGATGTTTGTAACCAGGTTCTTGACAAACAAGCTGCAGCCATTGAGGGTGGACGCCCTGATAGCACTGAGAATTAGCGAGGACGAAAGCCTTAGGGCCTATGCCAAAAGGTATTATGAGGTATTCAACCGAATACCAAGATGCAACCAAGAGGTGGCGGTTGTGTCATTTAAGAACAGCCTGAAAGATGACTGTCTACTTCGGAAATCACTGGCAAAGACATTGCCAAAAAGCATGGAGGAGCTTATGGCTAGGATAGAAAAGTATGCTAGGGCCAAAAAGGATACGCCGGGGACAAAGGGGCCGAAACCAGAGAAGAAAAATGGCTCGTCGAAGCGAGGCCGAGGTGATGGTGGCTACAACAAACCAGAAACAGGATTAAGGGCTTCTCAGACAATCACAACCGTATTCCGAATTTCAATTTACAAAGTCTTGAAGAAAATCTGAAATCAGCCCTATTACAGAGCACCAGCAAGGGTACCAGGTGAATTCATAGGGAAGAAGCCTTGGCAAGCACTGTGCTTACCACAATGAGGCTGGACATCTGACTCAGGGGTGTAGAGCCCTGAAGACACATCTGGAAGACCTGGTAAGACAAGGCCATTTAAGAGACCTAGTGGACGAGGCCAGGACAAGGGAAGAGCAAACAAGACTACCCTAAGCACCAACAGCACCACCCCCACCAACACCACAACCACAGGCAAACGGGCCTCGAATGATCAATGTGATTCACTCGAAGGTGAATGAGAATGAGATAAGGGGGGAAACCCAGAAAGTAAAACACCTACAACATGTGTATTAGGTCAAGAAGAAGAGACCTAGGGTAGACAAGAGCCAGGGACCAGTGGTGTCCTTTACTAAGGAAGATCTAGAGATGGTGCAACATCCACACAACGATGCCTTGGTAATATCCCTCCAGATTGGAGAGTGCCAAGTGAAGGGCATCTTAGTTGACCAAGGTAGCTCTTGTGACATCATGTATGACAGGTGTTACAAGGAGCTTGGCCTTCACCAAGATGACTTGGAGCAGTCCAATGGCCCAATGGTTGGGTTCAATGGGACGCCGACATGGCCCTTGGAAGTAGTAAGTTTGGAGGTGCAGGCTGGCACTAAGAAGCTAAAAACAGAGTTCATCATAATCAACACCCCTTCCCCTTACAATACTATCATGGGAAGGCCATGACGACATACAATGAGAGTTGTTCCCTCAACATTACATTAGCTATTGGGTTCCCAACAGAGCATGGAATAGAGGAGGTCAGAGGGGATCAATTGCAGGCAAATAATTGCTCCATGGCAGCAATAAAGTCTACCTGCAACATACGAAAAGTAAAAACAATAGAGATCGAGGATGAGAATGTGGAAATCCTGGATGATGTCGGCAAAGAGCCAGCCGAGAAGAGTGAAGAAACCCTAAAGAAAATCCTTGTCCAGCAAGGGAATGAGGAACGCTTCTTTCTTCTCAGCTCGGGCTTAGTCGAAGGAGAGGAAAAGGAGCTAGAGGCATTCTTGAGAGCAAACCTTGAGGTGTTTGCATGGACACCATACGAGATGCCAGGCATTGACCCCAAGGTCACTTGCCACAGACTGAATGTAGACAGGTCGGCCAAACCTGTCATCCAGAGAACAAGGAGGCCGACATTAATGCATGTTGAGGCAATAGAAGAGGAAGTAGATAGACTTCTGGAGGCCAGAGCCATTCGAGAGGTAAATTACCCGACATGACTATCAAACATAGTGGTTGTGAAGAATTCACCAGCCTGAATAAGGCTTGTCCCAAAAATAGTTTCCCATTACCCAAGATTGACCAATTGGTGGATGCCACTTCAGGGCATGGAAGGATGAGCTTCCTGGATGCCTGCAGAGGGTACCATTAGATACCTATGTACCTCTCAGATGAGGAAAAGACTGCATTCATCACCCTCAAAGGGCTATACTGCTATAGGGTAATGCCTTTTGGATTGAAAAATGCAGGAGCAACTTACCAAAGATTAGTAACCAAGATGTTCAAACATCTAATTGGCAGAACAATAGAGGTATACATAGATGACATAGTCGTGAAGACCAAGGAGCCTAAGGATCATCTGGAAGACTTAAAGGCAGTCTTTGACATCCTTAAAACATATCGGCTC